GGGGGAGGGGAAAGGGAAAAGTGGGGGAGGGGGGGGGGGTTGAGCCGGATCCCCCAAGCGACCACGAGCAAACACCCATGCCTCTTGAAGTGTGACCCATCTGTGAAGGCACACGCCAACGGTCAGTCACCGAGAAACTTGGCACCCACGCGCGTTCGGGCTACGGAGTTAGCACCTGGGCCCCCGGGACCCATTACCGGGTTTGGACACGGTGCGGCGGGGAAGGCGAGGGGAACCCACGGCACGGGACGTGCATCGGCAACATGCTAACACGGCGCTCGGAGATTTTGACGAACGCCACCGCCGGTGGCGGCAAGACCAAGCGACGGCAGTAGCAGCCGGTGGGCCTCCAAGTGGGCTCTTCAGCGGAGCCGCATGTCCGCACCTCTCCCACCACACCATCCCCAACTAGGGGGAAACAATAACAAACAGTCCCACACACAGGCAGACTCACACCACCCCCGGTGGTCATTGCCTGACTGCGCCCCAAAGATTCGCGCCCAGCCAAACACACTTACAAGCGCATCCCCCCCTGCGGAAAGGAGCGTGGACGGAGAGAGGACGAGAGAATGAGAGGGAGAGAGAGACGGAGAGGGAGAGGAAGAGAGGGCCGAAACCCTTTTTTGCCTGGGGCTCAACGTGAGCCCGCCGACAAAGTCGGGGATCTTCATCTTCCTTCTGCTGGGAAACCACCTGGGCCAAAAGCCCAGACGCGATCCCCCCGGCCCCCCCCCCCCCCCCCCCCCCCCCGCGGCCCCGATCCAGGCCTCCGTGGTGGATCCCGCCGCTGGCGTCCGGTTTAATCACACACACCACAGGGTCCGGCAGGGAGAGCGAGGACGGGAGGGGGCCGGGCAGCGGAGACCAAGACTTTCACACAAGCCAGCCCGGGGTGAGACAGGCACAAGGGAAGTCACACGCCAGAACGCCAATGTCGATTAACCGGTTAATTGCCGCCGACGTGTCACGCGCGCCGACGTGATCCTCGTAACGAACCGGCCTCAGGGGTCGCCGCATTATTCACCGGCGGTGCTCCCCGCCGCCTCCCCCTCCAGCCATCTGGCTGGGGGATAATGACGATGACGATGATAGGGCTTTGGGCTGTTGCGGGCCGAGGAACGGGACAGGAATGGCGGGCCTCAAGTGGCGGCCCGGCCATCATGCCAGCTTCCAGACCGCGCGTCCCGATAAAAGTTCAGTCCACATATGTGTCCCTCGACGGATGGTTTCCATCCCGGCCCTTCGGGGAAACCATCGGAGGGAAATCCGGGCAACCGGCGCTCGCCGCGGTTGGTTGGTTGGTTGGCACTCCAGCGGAGCGGCGCCGGGAGGCCGAACGCACCTCGCCCTGAGGTCCCTCGTCATCGCCCGCAGGGTGGAATGCGACCTGCTCGCTGTACCCCTCCCTGCGTCGCCGCGTCGCCCGGCCCTTGGCCTTTGTCGGCTCCCCGGCCGGCGGCAGGACAGACTGCGGTCAGTGGTCCGTGTGCAGGAGCCCCTGGCTGGACTGCCCCCATGGGGGGCTCGGCGACCGAAAAGACCCCTTCACGACCGGTCTCCCCTTGGGATGCGACCGGAATGCGAGGGTTGTCCTGGTAGTCAGCCAGCCGGCGAGGGGGAGGAGGGACGGGAACCGGGGGCGGGACACGGGGGG